TATATTCCATTCCCCAATCAGAGCTTGCTTCTGTAGGGGTCCTAGCGGATATAAAGCTGAGGTGAGGTGAGCGGCCGATTTCGGTGGCCGGGGCCGGGTGCCCGGGTGCCCGGGGGTGCCCGGGTGGCCGATTTCGGTGGCCGGGCCCGGGTGCCCGGGGGTGCATACGACCACCCTTCGGGTGATAAGGAGGTTCGGGGGGGGGGAACCAACGTCTCACTCGATCGGTCTCACTATCGATCTCACTATCGGTCGCGCTCGATCGATCTCACTCGATCGATCTCACAATCGATCTCACTCGATCTAATTATCTCATTCGATCGATCTCACAATTGATCTGACTATCGATCTCACAATCGATCTCACAACCGATCTCGCAATCGATCTCGCATTCCGACTCACTACTTATCGATCTCACTATCGATATCACAATCGATCTCACAATCAACGTCATCATATTCATCATTATCAACATCATCATCATCATCATCATCATCATCATCATCATCATCGGGGCACCGTCATCATCATCATCACCATCACCATCATCACCAACATCATCATCATCATCATCATCATCAACGTCGTCATCATCACCATCATCATCGGGACACCATCATCGTCACCATCACCATCATCATCTCATCATCATCATCATCATCATCAACTTCATCATCATCAGCATCATGAGGACACAGTCATCGTCATCATCATCATCAGCAGCATCAGCATCATCATCGGGACACCATCATGAACACCATCATTTTTATCATCACAATCATCATCAACACCATCATCGGGACACCATTCATCATAATCATCATCATCATCTCACCATCATCATCAACAACATCATCATCATCGGGACACCATCATGATCACCATCATCCGTCATCATTATCATCACCATCACAGTCATCATCATCGGGACACCATAATCATCATCAACATCATCATCATCAACACAATCTTCATCGGGACACCATCATCATCATCTCATCATCATCCTCAACATCGTCATCATCATCCTCATCATCATCATCATCGGGACACCGTCATCATCATCATCATCATCATCATCACCAACATCATCATCATCATCATCATCAACGTCGTCATCATCACCATCATCATCGGGACACCATCATCGTCACCATCACCATCATCATCTCATCATCATCATCATCAACTTCATCATCATCAGCATCATGAGGACACAGTCATCGTCATCATCATCATCAGCAGCATCAGCATCATCATCGGGAGACCATCATGAACACCATCATTTTTATCATCACAATCATCATCAACACCATCATCGGGACACCATTCATCATAATCATCATCATCATCTCACCATCATCATCAACAACATCATCATCATCGGGACACCATCATGATCACCATCATCCGTCATCATTATCATCACCATCACAGTCATCATCATCGGGACACCATAATCATCATCAACATCATCATCATCAACACAATCTCCATCGGGACACCATCATCATCATCTCATCATCATCCTCAACATCGTCATCATCATCCTCATCATCATCATCATCGGGACACCATCATCGTCATTATCATCATCAACATAAGCAGCATGATCATCATCACCATCGGGACACCATCATCATCATCGACATCATCCTCATCAACGTCATCAGCATCATCGGGACACCATCGTCATCGTCAACATTATCATCATCACCATCATCAACATCATCATCAACATCATCGTCATCGGGACACCATCATCGTCAACATCATCAACGTCATCATCATCACCACCACCATCATCATCATCACCATCATCACCATCATCACCATCATCACCATCATCATCTCACAATCGATCAGACTATCGATCTCACAATCGATCTCGCTATCGATCTCACAATCGATCTCACATTCGGTCTCACTATCGATATCACAATCGATCTCACAATCGACGTCATCATCATCATCACCAACATCATCATCAACAACACCAACATCATCATCATCATCATCATCATCATCATCATTATCATCATCGCCATCATCAACATCATCATCATCATCATCACCATCATCATCATCATAATCATCATCACCATCATCATCATAATCATCATCCACATCATCATCGGGACACCGACGGGACACCGACGGGACACCAGCGGGACACCGGCGGGACACCGCGGGGCACCGACCCCCGGAAGGGAAGTTTTTGGTCCGGCCGCGCCTCAGCCACACGGGACACCAGCGGGACACCGGCGGGGCACCGCGGGGCACCGGCCGCCAGAAGGGAAGTTTTTGGTCCGGCCGCGCTTCAGCCGCAGGAGACTTTCTCTCGCCCGCCCACGCAGCTTCGCCTCGCCCGCACGCACGGCACGCACGAACACGAAACCGAAATCGATTTCCCGGTAGGGGGGCTCTCCGTTCCACTTCGATCTCACCCCCTCACCTCCGATACCGGGTACCGGGGGCCCGGGCTCCGGGCCGGGACACCCTCCCGGATCCCCCCCCCCGGTAACCCACTTTGTCCCCGGGCGTCCGGGAGCTTTTTTTCGCCCCCCGGACGTCCACCATGGTTTCTGGGGACCGCAAGAAGCCGCCAAGACGGCCCAAAAGCGCTCCAAGACTTGCAAGATAGCCCCATCATGGCCCAAGAGGCCCCCAAGAAGCCCCAGGGGCGCTCCGAGAGGCCCTCTCTTGGAGGGCCCAGAGGCCCTCCAAGAGAGGAGAGAAAAGCGGAGGACGAGCGGAGGATGAGAGGGAGGAGGCTGAGTAGGCGGCTCACGAGCGGAGGACGATCTAGGACGAGCGGAGGACGAGCTCACCAGCGATATCATTCTCGATATTAGGATCTATCCAACTGTCCATATCAGGATGGATTTCAGTACGGATCTCATTCAATCGACCTAAGTATCGCTCTCACTATCGATCTCAATATCAACAGATCGCCCCCACGATCGATCTCACAATCAATCCCATGGTCGTTCTCGAGATCGAACTTACCATCGATCCCACTATCGATTTCACTGTCGATCGCACGATTGCTCTCACTATCGTTTGCATTAGTGTACCCCAGTCCCACGACTCACCATCGATCTCATGATCGGTTTCACTATGCATCTCACGCAATCGATCTCAACATAGATCTCATTAGCGATTTAACCATCGATCGGCCTATCGATCTCACTACTCATCTCACTCAATCGTGTCATGTGGCCCCCATGGCCCTGCCCAGGTGGGATCCAAACCGTCCTGCCCAGGGGGAGCCCGGCGGAGAGGGGAGGAGGGAGGGGGATGTTGTGGGACGAAGACGACGGCGACGACGATGGGAGACGACGACGACGACGACGACGACGACGGGAGGCGGCGACGACGACGACGGGAGGCGAGGAGGGACGGGGAGGCTGGAGAACAGGGTCCGAGGAGGCCAAGGCCGAGGTGGCGTCGTGCTTCTCTTCGAGTCCGAGGACTGGCCGCCCGAGGGGAGGCTTAGGTTTTATGTGCTTCAGTTCGCACTCTACTTTGGAGTATGTGGTTCAGGTTTATTCCCCAATCAGAGCTTGCTTATGTAGGGGTCCTAGCGGATATAAAGCTGAGGTGAGGTGGGCGGCCGATTTCGGTGGCCGGGGCCGGGTGCCCGGGTGCCTGGGGGTGCCCAGGTGGCCGATTTCGGTGGCCGGGCCCGGGGGCCCGGGGGCCCGGGGGTGCCCGGGTGCCTGGAGGTGCCCGGGTGCCCGGGGGTGCCCAATAGCCCAATAGCCCAGTAGCCCTATAGCCCTATAGCCCTATAGCCCTGTAGCCCCATAGCCTTATATCCCTATAGCCCTAATAGCCTTATATCCCTATAGCCCCTATAGCCCCATAGCCCTATAGCCCTATGGCCCTATAGGTCACAGTCCTATGGCCCTATAGCCCGATAGCCCTATAGCCCTATAGCCCGACCGATAGCCCTATAGCCCTATAGCCCTATAGCCCTATAGCCATAACACTAATCTGATTGGGGCTTTTCTCCGGTATTATATATATATACCAATCAGAGCTTGCCTCTGTAAGGGTCCTAGCGGATTCATATGGTTAGGTGAGGTGTGCCGCCGATTTCGGTTTCCGGCCCGGGTGCCCGGGTGCCCGGGTGTCCGGGTGCACCCGGGGGCCCGGGGGTGCCCGGAGGTGCCCAGGGGTGCCCGGAGGCGCCCGGAGGTGCCTGGGGGTGCCCGGGTGCCCGGGTGTTCTATCGCCCTATAGCCCTATAGCCCTATAGCCACATAGCCCTATAGCCCAATAGCCCTATAGCCCTATAGCCCTATAGCCCTGTAGCCCTACAGCCCTATAGCCCTAGAGCCCCATAGCCCTGAAGCCCTATAGCCCTATAGACCTGTAGCCCTACAGCCCTATAGCCCTATAGCCCTATAGCTTTTTAGCCCAATAGCCCTGTAGCCCTATAGCTCTATAATTAGCCGTATAGCCCAATAGCTCAATAGCCTTGCAGCCCATATAGCGTTATAGCCCTGTATCCATGTAGCCCAATAGCCCTACAGCCCTATAGCCCTATAGCCAATGAGTCCTATAGCCCTATAGCCCTGTAGCCCTATAGCCCTGTAGCCCTATAGCCCTATAGCCCTAAACAAACTATGATTGGGTTTTTTCTCCGGTATCTTATATCTATACATATATATATAAAGTCGATGATGTTGTCGTTGATACTGATATGGATGTTGTCGATGGTGATGGTTATGATGATCATGGTGGTGATGATGCTGTTCGTGATGATGATGGTGATGGTGATGGTGATGGTGATGATGATGATGATGATGATGATGATGATGATGATGATGGTGATGGTGATGGTGATGGTGAGGGTGATGGTGATGGTGATGAGGATGCTGATGAGGATGAGGATGCTGATGTTGATGTTGATGCTGATGCTGCTGATGCTGATGATGTTGATGAACGTTCGTCGCCTCCGCAACTCGAGCGTGGGGCATCTGCCGTATCAG